AGCGCCCCCGCCCCCAGCGCCCCTGAGGCCCCACGCCCCCGAGGCCCAGCGCCCTCTGCAGTTTTCTGCTTCTAGGGCCGGGCGGGCTGGGATCTTGTTTCCGGTGCTCGTGGACGCGGCGTCAGCTTGCGGGGAAGCCCGTCATGCCCTGCGGCAAGATTTCGCGTGGTGCCTGAGTGGGGCCGCAGGGCTGTGTTCACGCTTCAGTGTCTACGGGTGAAAAAATTGGTAGTTTGCATCGTATCCAGGGTGGAGGTGGGTGTTTTTAGCTCAAAACTTCGTTAAGCGCCAGAGAGAGATCGAGAGAAACATCTATTTATGTGCTTTTGCCTGTGTTCACTGCGAACACTTCGGTAAAGATAAAAAGAAAATCCCAGAAAAGGGGGTTCGTGCAGGATGGTAGAACAGACTCTGGGTGGGTTCGCAGTTGGAGAAGTCTGCTCCGTGCCGTAGAGTGGGGACCGGCAAGGTCGGGGTCCCCCGGCCTGGGCGGGCTGCGCTTCGATACTGTCGTCCAGGGCGTTTTTAGAAATCTGAGTTCTCTTTTTACAATGACGCAAAACAAACCTTTAATTTGCTTTTCGTTTCGTGTAATTTTCCGTTTTGAGGCGTATCAGCAGAGCTTCGTCTGGCTCAGAGGTTCCAGCAGGAGTGTTTGGGGTCGTGGAAGCAGCGGTTTCATTAGGCTCTAGGGGGTGCCTCTGGGGCCACCCGGCCTCCTCAGGCCGGCCTCGCCTGTCCCCGTGTAACACGGGCCCTGGCCGTGCCGGACGTCCCGCCGTCCCCTGCAGTCAGCAGGCGGCTCCCTCTGTTCCTGGAGGCTCCGCCACGTGCCCTCACGCAGGGAGAGAAGTGTCGTCACTTTGCAGAAGGCTGTGCCGGGGACAGCGTGGCCGGACGGTGCCGGAGGGGGGCCCTCAGGTTGCTGGGCGCTGTCCTGTGTCGCTGGGGAGCTGTGAGCTGGCCCTGGCCCTCCTCTGAAGAGCTGGTGGGACCCGGACACCGCTGTTCCGAGCACACTTTTTATTCTGAATTTGTACCTTAGGAGGATGCCAAAGGAGGAAAACCTCATGAGCATGGCCGCGTTCCCCTGAAAGCGCAGGAATCTGTTTTTTACGCCAAAAAGAGAAAGAAGAAAAGGCCAGCAAAGCCTTTAGTCCACAGCCGGGCAGGTAACGTGGCACACCCCGGCCACCCTGCGGGAGGGCCTCGTGGCCCACGGGGGCCACGGGGACGTGTGGCTGTGTGACCGTGTGACCGTGGTGGCGAGTTCTCTCTCTACGGACGGGCGGAGTAGGGTGGTCTGAGGTCTGCTGTGAGTGGTGATGTCGGCTGCGTTGGGGGGTGCTGGGGG